CACACACACACACACACACACACACACACACACACACACACACACACACACACACACACACACACAGACCTAGGGGTAGATAAACAGGCAGCTAGCAGTTTCTGCACATAACTGATGTAGACTGTATCCTCCTACTATAACCTATAATAACTCCTGAATGACACAAAGACGATTTTGATGGAAAGTTAAAAGTTCTTTTAACTAGAAATGACTTTCTAAACACATCAGATATCTTACTTGTTCCTGCTCCCATGTGTCACCCTTTACATTTGGAGCTGAAACTATAACACATTCCATAATACTGATGCTCAGAGATGGTTACTGAACAATAGTGAGGAGCGAGAACAAGTTGTAGCTTTAGATTTTCACACTTGGTGCGAGTGTAAAATGAGTTTGACTGCATTTTTGACAGAGCTTAAATGTGTTTTTACACCCTCAAGCTTAATATTAAAATGTAGAATATTAACTTACTACCAGCTGCTGTCATTGTTCAGCTGATGATAAGAAATTGCGTCAATATCTGGTATAATGGAGGACGAGGTCTATCTCGCCCCTGTAGGCGGCCACGGGTGTGCACGGACCGGTTTAGGTCCGACAGTATTTTCACGGACCGACCTTTAAGGTGTCCCGGGATAAATACAACAAAATAAAACCAGTACTGGTTCCAAAAAGAAATAAGATTTAGTCATAACACACGAGAAAAGACCCAGAGAAACGAGTTAACGATAAAAACCTGGTACCAAACGACTCACGGACCGGTACCGGTCTGTGGCCCAGGGGTTGGGGACCACTGCCCTACCAGAGGCCTGGAAGCTTGAGCTTCCTGTGTAGTGTGTGTTTAAGGTGGTGATCCACACCACTGACAGGACCATTAAGACCACCCTCCCCACTTTGCAGGACAGCTACATGAAATGATTCACCTGCATCGTCTGCTGAATGAGGAGCAGCTTCTGACCTCACACCATCACACTGTTAAATCAGACTGAAAGACCTCCAAGACTCAGAGTCACTCTTGCACTTCTGTTACTGTCGCACCGTTTCTTATGTTGGTTGGATGCATTTAATGTATTTCTTTAACTTATGTGTAGCTGCAGAGGGGAATTTAAAGACTTCACTGTAGGTTATACTAAACTTTAACTGTTTGTATAACTAAGGACAAAATTAAAGCTACAAAAATGACTTAATGAGCACGCAGTTCACAAGCTCATGTAATGTGTTGAATGTTAAATATTGAAGCAGTGATTTTGTGTCTTTCAGTCACTGGAGAGCACGCGGCGGATGGTTCAGTTGGTTGAGGAGGTACACACACACACACACACACACACACACACACACACACAAACACACACACTATAATCTAACAAAGACCCCCACAGTGATGGAGTGATAAAGCACAAACCTCACTGTGAACTTTGTCATCATCATCTGTAAATTAGCCTGCTGTGTTTCCACATGAGGAAATGGCCAGAGATCCATGTCAGGATGACTCTAACAAAGACGGATGCAGTGTCATGATTAAGTTTAAGCTCCTGGAAAATGATTTTGGACAAACGACGGCCGGGAGAGCAGAACAGTGAGGAAAGCAGGAAAGGATGTTTTTTCATTACTCCATAATGCACAGCATTCATGCCAAGTGCTCACACGTCCTTTATCCATAACAGCCATTTGTTTACTTTTAGTCACTGTGATCAGGATCGAGGTCATGTGAGCTTACTGCAGATAAACAGTTCAGGCAGTCTTACCTTGTTGGCTTTTTACCATAAATCTAAAATAGAAAGAATTTAAAGAAGTGAGCAGGAGCTCAGTGGATCGCCACGTGGCGTCTGCAGCAAACGTCTTTAAATCGATTTCCATATGTGCAATAAAAACCTGTTTGGAAACGATGCGTCGCTGGGGCTCCTGTCAGTAACGGGTTGTTATGTGTTCCCTCCTCCAGAGTAAAGATGTTGGGATCAGGACTGTGGTGATGTTGGATGAACAAGGAGGTAAACAGGTTTTTCTTGGCTTGAATGTAAAGACTTGTCTTGACCATGAAATTTGAAATTTGCTGGGTTTTTTTGTTCCTCAGAAATTTGTGTTTATTCTTAAATTTCTCATTGTATCAAGTTTTTTTCCCTCATAATTTAGCCTTTTTGTGTAAATATCTCTGATTTGAGCTTTTGGTTTGGAAGCCTTGCCAGTACACATTGTGTAAACATGCCCATCTCTGTATTGATCTCTGCTCCTGCTGTGGCAACACCATAAAACTCCCGTTCAAACAGAGCAGTTGGAGCGTATTGAGGAGGGTATGGACTCCATCAACAGGGACATGAGAGAGGCAGAGAAGAATCTGACAGACATGGCCCAGTGCTGTGGCCTTTGTATCTGGCCACTCAGGAAGTAGGTCCAGGAACCTGCGTCTTTATCCAAACAGGCCCTAAAAAGCCCCGTACTGGTGCCCAGTTCCATTAAATGTGTTGCAGTGTTTATCAAATGTGATTAGATTATCAGACTCCTTCAGCAACGATAATCGTAATCAGTCGTCATCATCATAATAATCAGGGGCTTAAATTACTCGATAAGCCATCCTGACTGAATGATGTCACTCTCTGCTCGTTTCCTTTTGCCCAAGTATTAAACGCAAAGTTGTTTTTTATTTAATAATTAGTTTTAATTGATCCATTAAGAAGAAAATAATCCCAAAAGACAAAGAATGCATGTTTTTACTAGTAGATGTTCAGTGAATCAAGATCTGAATGATATATATGAACAAACTATTTGGTAAAAGCCTTCAGGATGTGAATAACTACACGTTTGCTGTTTCTGAAGCAGAGATTTTTTGGCTTGAAGGATCAGAAAAATCTAATTTATAGACAAAGGCCTGTAAAAATGAACTCGATATAACAGATAAGCTCTGCATCTCTTGCATCTGATGTCTGTTTATAGCAGAACGGTGACAATGAAGAGTTTTCTAACTGCATGTGACTAAAAATACCTAAATTTGGATTTAGAAGACACATCTGTAGAGATGTTCCTTAAAATCTTCTTTAAAAGAAGCACACATGCAGAAACATCCTTCGTACATAGCCCGAGAGAAGAAAACAGAATGGAAGTGGGCACCGAGGTCAAAGGTCGTTGGCTCTGCACCGTTTGGTCCAGTGTGCTGTTAGCATTTAGCGCAGCGTGGTGGTGTTCTGTTTCACGTTTCTGGTGGCTGGTTTTTCAGTTCATAGTGCAGCCGCGTGGAAATACTTTGTGATTTTTTTTCTTTTATTCCACCTCCCTCCTCCTCTTTCTGCCTCCATTCTTCTCGTTACGTTCCTGCTTTCTTTCACCTTTGCTCTTCCTTCATCCTGCTCCGCTGCATCCTCTCATAGAGCAGTTGGAGCGAATAGAGGAGGGCTTGGATCAGATCAACTCTGATATGAAGGAGGCAGAGAAAAACCTGACTGACCTGGGCAAGTGCTGTGGTCTCTGCTCCTGTGATAAGTAGGTGGAGATGTGTGTGGCGTGTGTGTGAGTGTGTGTTTGTCTGTAAACATTATCCAGAGGTAAGTATGTGAGATGTAGTCATAAGAATCTATTTGTAAAAACCTAAATTATACCTGATTCACAGCCCTGGGCCACGTTTACTGCAGCGGCTTCACCACAAACCTCAGATTTATACAAAAGGCACTTTTCCACCATATCAAAGCGATCTGTCAGCTCGGTCCTGTTATTATAATGTTAATAGAGTTGAATTGGTCCTGTAAGGTCAGGCTGCAACATTCAAACACCATCACAATGAGCAACCATCTTATTCACCAGTTTTTTCTGGCGATTTCACACTTTCAGGGCTCGGCGTTGGTGTTATGGCTGCTGCCGTGTTGGAAGTGACCATATTGGTAGTTTTTGGCACTTCTATGCCCAGACGTTACTCACAAAAGACAGAAAACCAAACATAGCAGGAAAGCTAAACTGAGTGTTCTTCTTAAAGAAACCACTCTGAAGTGCAGATCTAAATGTGATATAGTTCTTGTTCTTCCCCAAACGCACTGATCAGGATGATCCCAGTGATACCAGTGAGCACTGGAGGTAAAATAGATGTTTCCAGTAAGGTGCTTTAACATACAGTGCGACGCTGACAAGGAGCAAATAGCCTCCTGAGATTTAAACATGAGGAAACTCTTCAGATTTGGTTCATTAGTTGCTTTTAGCTTTTGCTGTCGGCTTGCTTTGCTGCTCTGATTTGCTCTGAAGTCGTCCAGCGCCATGTTTGTCGTGTTTTATGGTATAAATGGACCCTTGGTGTACCTGTACTGTAGCTGCAGGAGCAGTATGGGTACGCTGTGGTTCTCACGTTTCACGTTTAACAGACTTATTAAATTGACATCCATGGGGTCATCACTCTTTCTCTTCCAGACTAAAGGCTTTTGAGGAGAGTGGGGCATACAAGGCAGTTTGGGGCAGAGCCTCAAGCCAGGATGGCGTTGTAGCCAATCAGCCGCCGTCATCTCGGGTCGTGGATGAGAGAGAGCAAATGATTATGAGTGGAGGATACATACGAAGGTAGGGAGAGAGTGACACACAGAGTTTAGTGGAGTGTGTTATTGTGTGAGCTGAGAGACGGCAGCTGCATACACGGTTTGTGTGTGTCTGAGTGTGTGTGTGTGTGTGTGTCTGTGTTTGCTCTTCTTTACAGCAAACTGACATCTAATACTTAAGCCATCGCACACAGGCAGCTGGTCAAACACAAACACAAAAACTTGCACACATCTTTGCAGCATTGATGTTTTCCTGCTTTATTCCTGCCCGTGTCAGGGCGACCGGCGACGCCCGCGAGGACGAGATGGAGGAGAACCTGGCACATGTGGGCAGCATCGTCGGAAATCTGAAGAGCATGGCCCTGGACATTGGCAACGAGCTGGAAACACAGAATTCCCAAATCGACCGCATACAGGGAAAGGTACCGCCGTCCTGTTCTGCATGTACACCTCAGTGTGTACTAATCAAATAAAATTCATTTCACCAGACTCTGTTAAATGTAACAATTTAAGGGCGCTGGTTTAGCTCGCTAGGATGAACGTGCAACCATATGCCGGGTTTGAATCCGACCTGTAGCCTTTGCCGCATGCCTTCCCCTCTGCTTTCATGTCACTCTTTACTATATCGCTCAAATAAAGCCAGATAAAGAGTAAATAGTCGATGATTACTTTTACAAGATTCTCAAAGCACCTTGTAGTAAACTCAGGTAGGGATTCGGAAGAGTAGGAGGCCAAGGAAGACATTAAGCGCTTAACTCCCACCAGGTCAGGGTTAGAGTTGGATTTTGTTTTAGCCACATGATGAATACACACATTTTACAAAACTGGAGGACTTTACATAAAAGCTTTTCCTTTGACATGTTCTAGACCGGTGAAACTCTGTGAAAACAGCCACACCTAGAACATGCCAGCAAACCTCAGACTCCTGTATCTGGTTTTGCATCCAGTTCTCCAAGAACCCAGTTAAAAAAATAGCATGGAGCTCATGTAAAAGACAGCGTTATACAGAGAAGAAGCACTAACAATGGTAAACAGTCAAACAAAAGAGCAATAGCTTCTCAAGACTATACTTGAATAAAAGCAACTGAAAATAGGTTCATCTTCAAAGTTGATTTCACAGGTTCTTATGTAGGAGGGCCGACTATTCCAGAGTCTGGAAGCAATGAGAGCGTGGCCTGGTCACCGTTAGGGGAGAATTCCCAGAAGTTGTTGGGATAATGATGGAGGCAAAATAGGCAGTTAACAGACCTGAGCAGCCATAAACAGGAGTGACGTGCTGTCTTTTCTTTGTACCAGTTAAAAGTGAAGCTGCTGTACACTGAACTATGTGAAATAGAGAGTGAGAGTGGAATTAGCCAATCTTATATACAGAGTTGCAGTAGACCAGCTGAGAGGTAGGTAAGGGGGGGGAGAGCTGTTTCCAGATCCTTTAGTCAGACGGAGTTCTGTGAGTTTCACACGGATCCATCTGGGATCTTAGTGAGGAGAGAAAAGGGGAATTATGGCAGTTCATCTCAGGCTTGTGCCCAGAGAGGGAGATGAATGAAATCAATAATGTGGCTTTTTACCTGACAGAAGCAGTTTGTGCTCTTCCCTTTGAGTCAGAGATGAAAGCAGCACAGGAACTTGTGCTAAGAGCACTAAAGCTAAGAATTCTTATCTATGAACAGTTCCTTCTGAGCAGGAGGTGTTTGATTATATTCACCCTACTGTGTGTTGTTGGACTGTAGAGCTTGCCGAGCTCTACAGCCTTCCTTTGATTAACCAGTGCAATTAAGCAAACCTGAAAGTGAAAGATAGATGGAGAGCACAGCTGTTTGTGCCTGCCTACCACATTCTTGTTAACACTTCCTTGTTCTTTCTTTTTTCCCATCCTCTGCAGGCTAATCTCAACGTTACCCGAATCAGCGCTGCCAACCAGAAGGCTACCAACCTCATGAAACGATAGAAGTGCTCTTCCAGTCTTTTTCTATTAAACTGTGCTTTTGCGTGCCGTGCCAATATGCTGACCCTGTTATTTTAAACCTCCCATTTCTCACTTTTGACAGTGAAATGTGCTGTAAAACTCATCTAGAGGCCGTAAGGGGTTTAAAGTGGAGCTCTTTATTCCGTAACCCGTATTTTAACATTCCTGTTCGTTCCCCAGATATCATAATAGAAAGTCGTAGTTATAAAATGTGACCTATGATTATTATAAGTCAGTTTGCAGTGCAATGTACGCTCTGTTTTACCCCTCAGCGTGGCCTCCTTTAGCTCTTGGGAACCTTTAATGGTCCCTGTGGGGAAAAAATGGGTCACTCCAGCAGCACCATCACTGCCAGCAGTAGCAGTAGAGAGCACAATCACACAAATACGTGAATTTGTGTGAAGAGCGGCTGTCCCTGCTGTGGTGTTATGAAACATGAGCCCATACGTCGCCTTTTCCATCTGCCGGACGGACAGGGGAATAACGGCATCTGTGCAGCAAAATGTTCTGAAAAGCAACCAGTCCAGTCCCAAATTACACAACCCTGTAATTCCACTTTCTCCAAAATCTGCCACTGTGGATGAAACACGTATGTGACGGCGCCCTCTGTCGGCCCAGCCGGGTATTGCCCAAGAGAAGGAAATACGTATTTCCCCACAATGGAGGATCTCTGGCGACACCAAGCGGACGCAAGCGGAACATGCATTCTTCCTGGCCTCTCCCATCTTCCTTCTGTCTCCATGTTGATAGAAAATGGTGGTGACACCAAGTGACGTTGTTGCTGATTTTACGACCCTGTCTCTCAGTCGTGCACATCAAAGGTTGGCTGACAATGCCAAACGTCACCATATCCTAAATGATTTGTACTTGATGTCTGTGTTTGTAATGTTAGCCAATCAGGGAGATCCTTAAGTAAACTATGCTGTCTTTTTATTAGCTGCTAGGTTTGAAATCGTCCATTGGGTAGAAGCTGTTTTTTGTTTAATTATGTACTGATGAGTAATATAGTACAAATCATAGAAGTGTAGATGATGCTGACCTATGTTGACCTAAAAAGGCCTTCATGTGCGTAACTACAAGGTAACTACTACAGCTGAGGATCACTTGTGTGTGTTTGCTACGATGAAATGTTGAAATGTGAACGTAATGAATAAAAAAAATGTGCGCAGGAATATAGCGTACGTGATTTTGGGACTAATTAATTATGTGAGGCGGGAGGAGGGGCTGGGAGGGTGATGGTAGTCATTAAATATTCACCGTGTGGCTGAACGTGCAGACTTCGTGAGTTTGGTGACTGGTGTGTTGGGAATGGGAGTGACTGGTGCATACGCTTCTGCGGCACATGGGGGCGCGCAGCGGCCTGAAAATGTTGCGCGTTCGAGGAAGAAGAAGGAAAAAAAACCACACGCGCTGCGTGAATAGAGTCTGCGCAATTCGCTTGTTCTCGTCACTCCGAACTTTCGGGAGAACCACGAAGGAAGGAGGGGAGAACAGCGCCATTTGCCTGGTAATTATTTACAGCATATGCGGCCTTTTAAAAAACACTGCACGTCACGCGGAATCCGCAATAGCAGCCCGCACGGGCGGCGTTTTCGCGCAAAGCGTACGAACGTGCTACAGTGCGAAATAAAAGCGTATCGCCGAGCTAGCAGGCGTCTCCTCCAGCTCTGACACCGACAGTTGGAGCGCAAAGACACTGCACAGCTCCGCTTGTAATGTTCGCGATTATCCGGCTCGTGGTTACGGAAATTCGCAGGATTCGCACGTCTCGTCGTTTTCACGCAGCACCGGTTCAGCCCCGCGTAGCTAACAGACGCGGAGGAGTCTGGTGGGCAGCTCCCCGTGTGAACCATCAGGCACGAGCTCAACAAAGACACAGCACGGTCGCAGCTGATTGGTTCGCGTGGGTCACGTGGTCTGGTAGAACGCAATGTTTATCAGGTATTTAATGAGATCTGGAACATTAGTACGCTCTCGTGGATGTTTACAGCCAGCCAATCAGCGCCGGTCCGAACTCCGTGACGTAAACAGAATTCAACAGATTAACTAAAAGAAACAAAGTAACTAATAAAAGCTGCACTGACATGGTTACTTACTTTGTAACTGCTTGATATATGGATACACACATACATGTGTATGTAGAGGAATTTCCTACACACACGTGTGGGTGTCTTTAGGTTTCCTCAGAAAGTAGAAAAAGAATAATTTCTGAAAGACAGGAAAACAGTCATCTATCAGTGTTCGTGTATGTTAAAGTCCAGCCAGGAGGGGGCAGTATAGGGACACGAGCTGAAGGAAAAACGAGATGTTCTCGTCCACAGCCATGAAAGCGGCCCCTGTCCAACACTGCAGGTGGTTTTCCTGAAATCTGCACTGGCTGTTTATGGTTCAGTCACCCTGAAAACAGTCCACAGTCTGCTACGCGTGCAGCACTTTTTGTCTGTGTTGCTAATTAAAATTAAGTTTTCACAACATAAAATCCAGTTCTCAGAAGTCTTGTGTGTCAAAGGAGGAGACGTAGGTTCGGTTCAGCTGCACAGCTGTGGCTCAGGTGATAACATCTGTGAAGTCCAGTTTTATATGAATTCGTCGCAGTCGCTAAATTTGTATTTTTTTTTTTTTTTAAGTATGTAGAAGGATTTTTGAGAACATAATTTTGTAACCTTTAAATTGTGAGCTGCAGGTACATTTAAAAGTGCCAGTGGGTGACTGGACTACCTGCTTCTGCAGTCATTTTTAAAATTGGGAACATACTTGAAACATGCATGAAATATTTATGAAACTGTATGAAGAAAGTTTTGTCTCACAACTTGTAAAAAAAAAAAAAAGCCAAATTCTATATTCATCACTTCAAATATATTTGTTTCAGTGGATCAGTTAGTGCCGCTGGGACCAGAAAATTGGTCCAGTGAATAAAAATGTTTTGATTTTTTTCTTTTGTCTGAAGAAATTTAATGGCTTCACAGACTTAGAAGAAACAACACCTCACAATAGGGGAAAAAAACAATATTGCTCAGATTCCTACAGAAACTGCTCACTCCACAGCTTGGTAGCTTGTAATATGAACGTATTAGGTGTACCAGTGCTCTAAATGCTCACTCTAAACTTGAGTGGGCAGATATACTTGGCTGGCCATTAACATACAAAGCTTGGAGGAATGGGACTGCTATCACTTCCCGTGATCCAAGAAGTAGTTACGCCTCTTTTCCGCTGGTATCTACTCGTCTTAACTCGGTTGTTAGGTTTTTCCATTAGGTAGTAGTACCTGGTACTGGTTACTTTTTTAGTACCTGTTCAGTGGGGGTTGCAAGTAGGGTTGGGTTTAAAAAATAGATTTTCTGATTCAAATCGATTTCAGTTTGAATAATGCGATATGGATTCATTAAATCCTGAGTCGACTTAAATATAAATGTATTTTTCCAGAAATGCCAGAATCTCAGGTTAAAGCTAACGAAACTATTTCAACAACCACCAACAGCTAAAACAGCAAACGATTAAAAAGCAGGTAATCGATAAAGATGTGAACCCGACGGCACGCACAATTCACTGAACCAGCAACAAAAGAAGATCAAAACCGCTTCACGTTTAGAAACATCGTCATGGATACACTCTTGTTTTGGCAGTTTTGCTTCCACCACGATAAAATTACACTTCCTGCACAGCTCTCTCTCTCACTCTCTCTCTCTCTCACTGTACTCAGAGACCAGTTTAGCATCAAAAATCAGTTTTCTGGATTATTCGCTAGCTTACTACACACCAGTCTACCGTTGTGTACAGCGCTGTCTGCCACACGTGACCTCCGACAAGAAGCCTCGTTTCTGTTCGATCCTAAAGAAATGTAAACTTTTACAAATGATGTCAAATTGCAAAACCCTCAGTTGTGTCTCTCATCAAAGCTCTGTAACTTTGCTCTGCTTCACTTCAGCAGCATCAGGTCATGTTCAGATGTTGATTCATGGTTTTCTTCAGTTTTTTTTTCTACTGCAGAATATTTTAAGGTTTTCTGCTATAAAAAGCCAGGACAGGAAAATCTGCTTCATGTTTTTGTGTTTTACTTTGACACAAAGGCATCTGCTCACACCTCTGATGAAGTCTCACAGTGTCAGCCTTGTTCTTATACATAGATATAAAATATGGATGTACGGATAAATGATCAGAATTATAATATTTCTGACTGTCTGAGTTAAAATCAAATCGGCACCTTGTGAATCAGAATTGAATCGGTCATGGAAATCCTTGACGATAACCAGCCCTAGTTGCAAAACTGTGACGTCGACAGACTGCATGCTGGTGACTGGCCAGGCTGTGGCGTTGCTCGCTGAGTCATGAGATTGTCTCCTTCAAAGAAATCAAAACCGCCATTTTTGAATCTCGGCCACAAATAGCCACACAACATCCAACACTCTGGTCCCCGAGTCTGACAGAAAGCCAGAGACTGAGCAGCAGGTGTAGCATCACCTCGAAATCCTCTTTTTGTGTTTGTGTCATATAAACATGACATCACAAGACTTTCAGCCACGTTACTTTGATGACCACATGCACATTTAGGTGGTGCTCGTTTGCAGTGTAAATCGACCCAAACCGATCAGTCAAATCGAGTCATGGAGTCCATCCGACCCAGGCCTGCATCACAGCATGGGAAAATATGAGACAGGAAGCAGCACAACTAGCTGATTAGCAATGACTGAATTTTCAGAATAAGAGCGAGGGTTATGAGACTGTTGAGTGTAACTCGATGATGTTATTATCTTACATGGATTAAATCTCACATTAGTCAAAATGTACTCATCTGTTTATGCTGAAATTTAAAGTTATTTTGTATAAAATGAAAAGATAAACTTTGATCTGCACAAAAGCTTATTAAGGAGCTTATTTAGAGCAATAATAAGGAATAGTTTTTAAACGGAGGGAAATATTTTGTATGCTTATGAAGCAGAGATGCTATTTCTGCCTGCTTATAATTCATTTTATCCTCCATATTTCTTTTCTTTCATCGTTTTTTCCTTTGTGTTTTTTCTGCAGGTCCTGTGCAGTCAGCCAGGCGTGTCTAGTCCCGACTGGCAGCTGGATCAGGATCAGCTAGTCGTGGAGGGCGGTGAATTTGGACTCGGTCTCTGTTTTAGTGGGCCGTCCGAGGCAGCGGTGGAGCCATGTCAGCCACGTGGCGTGAGGACGATGAGGAACTGAGGGTGGGAGGAGTAAAAGGAGCATTGAAAGCCAAACCGAGGTTCTCCTTCACTGAGGTCAAGCTGCTGCTGGAGGCGGTGAAGAGGAACAGATACATCATCCTCAGTGAGTAGGAATAAAAAAGTAGATTAGTTCTTTTCTATTTAGGAGGAAAGTCTTTGAGGAGCTGTTCGTAATAAAACGTGTGCCGTTGAGGCCATTCTGGTACGACCTACTGACCGTCCTGTTGGTCGTGTTTATCATGCGAGTGTTGAGCTCCTCAAGTCTCTCATCACATAGGCTGATGGACGCCAGCTTCGCCACCTTGGGCTGCATTTGGTGACAGTGATCTGTATTCTGCTGCAAAATGCACTCCAGCCGACTGGCAGCAGGTGGAGAGCTGCTTCTGATGCTGCTCTGTCGTCCTGCTCAGAGAGGCTGCAGTCAGAATCCCTCCATCCTTTTGTTTTTGTCATCACGGCGTTTGGGCAGTTAAAACACATCCGAGGGACATTTTTTAATATTGTTTAGTTCAGGAACCCCTGACACCACTGATGTCAAACATAACATTTGATTTTATTGTGAAGTTACAGGATGTTTTACTGGTCAGTCTGCCCTCTCTCTGTTTTTAGTGCACTGTGCTTTTAAAGATCCTTACCAGCAGAGGGAGCACGTGGGTCACCTTTTACAGCACTGCTGTGATTTAATACTTGAGACTGATTCGTTCTCTCTGTAGGGAAGTTTAACCAAGGTGTGTCGGCTGAAACGAAGAAACAGACGTGGGTCGAGATCACCAATCAGATCAACGGTCTGGGAGAGAATCACAGAGAGGTTTGTTTTACATCATTCTCAGCTCCAGAAAGTCCTTCGAAAGATGATTTGTGAAGTTGGCACAGTTCAGAGAAGCCCTGATCTGTCCTTCAACGT